AACATGCCTTTACTATTCATCTTTCAGCCTACTCTGGCCTTAGGCTGAAGAAACTAGAAGAGGGGTGAAGGGGAGTGGCCTTATTTAGGATGTTTCCTTCTGCTCTGCTCTGCTAAGCACAAAAGGGAAGTAGAGCACAGGTCTCGAACAATCCATAGGATCCTTGAGTTGGGAAAGTGCCTCACAAGGTCATTCGATTTCATTTCTCAAATCTCCTACCCCCAGGCATGCGTGCTTGGGCGCGCACACACACACACACACACAGAGTAAGATGGTTGAAGGGTAATCCTAGTTTAATTCCCAAGCACACATCTTCTGCTTTTGACCCTCTCCGATTTTTCTGTTCTCAAAACGCAGAGATTCAAACTTGACTTACCCATTTTTTTCCCCTTTCCGCATCCTTCTCCTTACATTACTAGCCTGCTTTCTTTTCTGTTCCCTTATGTTCCGAATCATCTTTAGTAATATGCTGTAACCTACGTTTGCTCCACCAGTGGTTGCCATATAGGTACTTAAAATTCTGGTTTTTCCAAGAGAGTGGTCTCTGATGATTTCTATCTATGCTAATTTCTCTCTCAGGAGTTCCTTTCTATAGTTCTGTCAGTCCCAGAATATCAGAATAAGAAATTATTTCAGAAATCATCTAGTCCAAGCTGTACCTGAGCAGAAAGCCCCTGTATCATCACAAGAAGAATGTTGTTATAGACTTTTTGCAGCATCCCATAGTTTGGAATCATTGTACAATTTCCCAACCATGAGCCACTCTAATCTCTTCCTAATAAAGGAAGGATTAAAAACTGGAAAGTATGGGACAAGAATACTTAATGAGTTCAAGCCACCAAGTCTGAGCAAACTACACCGTAGGATATTGAAACTGCAGGCATAAAAGCTTGTAAGACTGATCTTTGAGCAGTTATGGAGAATGGAAAAGGTGTCACAGAATGGTAGATGGGCAATTTTTGTCTTGATTTTGGAAAGAGGATAGAAAATGAATTCTTCAAAAACAGCTGCTAAGCTTGGCTTCGATACCTAGCAAAATTCTAGAATGTATTATTAAAGGACATGGTTTGTAGGCATTTAGAAAACGAAGCAACAATTACTACAAGCCAGCAAGGGGTCATCAGGAGCAAGTCACCCCAGGCTAACTTTCTTTCCATTTTTTGACAGGTGGTTATTAGGCTGGTAGATAGAGGAATGCTGCATACATGGATTGTTCAGGAGGGCATTTGACCAGATCTCTTGTGATAGCCGTGTGAATGAAATAGAGAGATTGACTGGATTGTAATAGGTTGATTTGGTTGAACAGTTGGACCCCCAAAAGTGCTAATTAATGATTAAATAGTATCAAGCTGGAGGAATGTCTGTAACGGATTGCCACAAGGGGATGCATCCTTGGCCCCATTCTGTTAAACATGACTTTGATAACACATAGATGGTATGCTTCTCTAAGCACAAAGCTGAGAAGACCATCCAATGTGCTAGATATTAGAATTGGGGTTCAAAAAGATTATTACAGGCTATACCAGAAGTATGAAACTTGTGGGACCTTCACATTTCCTGAGGCCAGACTAGATTAAATTGTAAATGGGAAATGTTTAACAAAATAAATAAAAATAGCAACAATATAAATAATGTTAATTTTTGGTTTTCTAAGTTAACATGTGGCCAAGGAGATCCACTTTTATTTGAGTTTGACCCCACTGGGTTAGATGATGGATCAACTCTACTTAGGTGGGATTCCATAAGGCTGAATTTAAATCTTGAACTTGATTCCAGGGAATCAACCACACAGTTGCAGGATGAGGGAGACATAGGGGTTTTAGAGGACTTTCTACATGTGTCATATTGTTACACAGCAGACCAAAAAACAGACCCTATCTGAGGCTGATGAGCAAAAATATTATTTCCAGAGAAAAGGCAGCAATAAAATGATCTGGAATAATGAATTTAGGGAGTTATGTTTTAGGAAGAATATTGACAAATTGGAAAGTGTCTGGAGGATGCTGAGCAGAATGATAAGGGAATTGGAAACCATGCACTATTGGGATCAACAGGAGGACCTGGGAATATTTAGATTCGGTCAAAGGGCTGCACTTGAGGACCTAGAGGGCTACATGTGGCCTCAAGGCCACAGGTTCTCCACCCCTGACTTAGCCTTTAGAAGACAGTATTTAGGGGGTGGGCGGACATGATAGATAATTGCTTTCAACTATTTAAGGGTCTGTCATGTGGAAGAGGGATTAGGTTTGTTTGGTTTGTCTACAGAGAGGAGGATTTGAAGCTGCAGAGAGGAAGATTTGGACTCTCTGTAAAGAAAAACTCCCTAATGCTTATAGTTGTCCAAAAGGGAAATAGTCTGCCTAAAGGAGTAGTGAGTTCTCTATCATTGGAGATGGTTAAGGGATGACTCTTTGCTACCAAATGTTATGTAGGAGATTCCTTCTCAGACAGGTGTTGTACTAGATGACCTCTGAAGTCATTCCCAATTTGGGTAGTCCGTGATTCAATGACAAAGCTGTAGGAAGGACCCTCCTGAGAGAGGAACCAAGAAATCCTGAGGCCAAGGCCTAGGGCCTTCATATAGGAAGGAATTTGATAGATAAGTGATGGAACAAAAATTCCAGAAACAAAAATAAATGAGGCAGTATTTGGAAAAGTTCAAAGGAATTCAGATCGGGAATTTTCTATGAAGAAGAGAGAAAGTGTCAAGGAGGTGAGGGGTAGGTGATGGAAGAAAATCTGAGCAGATTATGCTTCTGAGACACCTTGATGAGAACTCAAGACACACTTTGGCTAGTTGTTTCTAGTTGCCTTTCCAATAATTCATATCCCTTGACCTTGATGCACAAGTTCCCTTCTTTCTAAGCAGCAATTCCTTTTCAGAACAGAATTAGTCTTCCTAAGGGAGGAAAATTCAGTACACTGTGTGTTGGGCAGGAACTTCCAGGCTTTGGCTGCTTAAGACTTAAATGCATTGTCTCTCAGCCTTCTCAGGGCTGGCTAGTGTGCTTGACAAGGAGCCCCTACCCCAGAAGTGATAAAGCAATGGTGACTGGCCCTATTGGCTGCTCTACAGGTCTATTGTTTCTTCTTCCTGAGTTACTGACAAAGGAATTACAGCTCAAAACATTCCTTCTCATTCTCTCTTTGCTTCCCTTCATCCACTCTCTTTTCCTTGCTACCATGTCCTGAAAGGAAGTCACAGCTCCTCTGTTTTCTTCACCTGCTTTTTTACCCTGTGAGAGCAAGGTCAAATGATGGTGCTTGGGAGGTTTTGCTGACCAGACTCTTCACCACATGATCACTGGGGTCCTGCCTCTGAGGGCTGGGCTCCAATTCAACTTTACCCTCAGATGGATGGAATTAGTTGTTTATTAGGTTCTCCCACAGGGCATTTGGTTTCTGCTTTCTAATGGATGGCTAACAAATTCTATCCCACTTTCAAAGAGCCTACCAAAGTGAAGCGTATCCCTTCCAGGGGTGGGGAACCTGCAGCCTGAAGTTTGGATTCAGTCAAAAGGCAGCACTTAAGGACCTATGACCTCAAGCCTGCAGGTTCCCCACCCCTGCTAATCTCTGACTTGAGAGAAGATAACCATTGGCCTCTTTGAGGATGGCCTTCTTTTTCTGTTGTGTTGTCTTTGTATCCTCAGGGAATTTTACTTATCTGACCTCAATTCATGGTTTAATCCACGTGAGGAACTCCCTTTACCAATGTGGGTTGGGTTGGTGAGCAGTAGAGACTTAATGAATACTTAGGGCAGTGTATTCTACTGACTTTCACATAGGGAAGGGCAACTTTCCAAGAGCCTATGCAAAGGTCCTGGTGTGGTAAGAAACTTTCAGATTAAACATTAAGCACACTTTGGTGTTAGATAATCAAAATACAAAGCTAAAATACAAAGCTAAAAAAGGACATGATTCCTGCTTTTGAGAGACTTACAGTATAATTGGAGGATAAGGTCACACAGATAACCCCAATAGGTTAGACAATAAGTAGACAGCTACATGGAGCTATGGATAGAGCACTGGGCACAGAGTCAGGAAGACCTGGGTTCAAATCCTGTCTCAGGCACTTAGTAGCCATGTGACCTTGGGCAAATCACCTAAGCTCCTTAGTTCTCAGTTGCCTCATCTGTAAAATGAGGTGGTTAAATTTGATGGCCTCTAAAATTCCTCCCATTTCCAAATCTATAATCCTAAAAGAGCATGAGGGATCAAGGAGGGAGGGAGGAATTAATTCCAATCTCATGAAGGAGAGAGCATAGGATCTAGACCTTGAAGGATGGGATAGATGTCAAAAGATGAGATATAAAGCTTCCTGTAGGAGAAGACTTTTGAACTGAATCTTGAAGGAAACATGATTATGAGAGGAGGAAGTGAGTGCATTCTAGAGGTGGGGATCTGCAAGTACAGAGGCATGGGAGATGGAGTGATGTGTGTGAGGAATAGCAAGGAGGCCATTTTGGCTGGACTGTACAGTGCAGACATGGAAATAATGGCTTATGAGGTTGGGAAGGTAAATTGGGACCATAATGTGAAGGGCTTTAAAAGCCAAATAAACAAGTTTGCATTTTATTCTAGAGGCAATAGGGAGCCATAGCAATATGAGCAGGGGAATAACATGGTTTGACTTTCACTTTCAGAAGATACTTTTTTGTAGAGAACAAACTGGAGAAGGCAGAAACTTGAAGCTGGGAGGCCAATTAGCTATTGCAGTAGTTCTGGGATATGTATGAGGTCCCTGAACTAGGTCTCTTAAGTAGAAAGAAGCTGTCAGATATGAGGGAAGTCGTGGATTACAACAGCAAACCCAAGCAACTAAACCAGAACTCTTCCATTCTCTCCTGATTATTATCTCTATTATCTCTCACCCTACCCCTAGAGCTTTTAGCAGAGATCATTTGGCTAAAGCTGGGCTTCACATCCCTGGAGGGTGGAATGGGAAGCATCTTGGTGATGTGGGATTTAATGAGGTCTCTCTGACTTTTCCTTTCCAGATGCTGTCATCATGCTTAGCCCCATCTCTTGGCTGCGACCTGCACCATGATGGAGGTTACCGGGCCCTGTGTCTCTCAGGGAGCCTTAGTACAACTCCTCACGCTTTCCCCGTCTGAATTCTCCAGCACCCGGAAGACTGAATTGGAATGCTCAAGAGCAGTACCCAGCATGGGGAGGAAATAGTGGCATGCTGCTCTTCTGCCCACAGGATAATTAATGCCTCTGGAGTTTTGAACAAGAAAGGAGAATCTGCTTTCACAGAGACCTGTTGGGACCAAAGACCCTTTCAGCTGCATTGTTGAGGGGAGATGAAGGCCAAGGGAGAGCGTTAGGGGGTGGTGGTATTTCATATATGGCAAAGAACTACATACTTGCTTGTCTGTTTCACACAACATGCCTGCCCCCACTAACCCTTTGAGGATGGTGGGGAAAGAGGCAGCAACATCCTTGGTAGAGGGACAGGAGTGAGTCAGGTGAGCCAAAAGAGGACGGGGAACTGTGGAGAGTCTATGGCCTCCAGTGCTTTGCACTGAGGTTTGCTGTTTCCTTCTGAGCCTGAATTGACAGCACAGACTAGTATTAGCCCCCGAAGCTGCTAAATCAGGAATGTTATAAAGCCTCATTTCAAAGTTTATAACTTGGATGATGTGTTTCAGATGCGACACACATTGGGTCACCCAGGAAGGGGGCGGTGATGGGGAGGGAGCTTCTGAATGCTCAGTGTTCAGGGAGTTCTGGCTCTGTCAGGCTCCCAAGAGCTGATGGGGCATCATGACTGAAAGAAGACAAGGGCCCAATGCAGACAGGCTGTGTGAAGAGAACCATTTAGTGCTGATTCTGTGACCAAGGAGGCAGCTAAGCTTGTTGAAAATGCCAGCCTTAGGATGGTATTGTCCCAAGCCCAAGAGTAGACACCTCCCAAATCTCCCTTCAAGCCACCTCGTCCCCTCTCCCCAAAGTCCCCCAGTGGGGCTCTGCCACAGTGGCTCTGAGACGGAGATGGGCCTTAGTGCTAACATGTGAAGGTGAGCCTCCCTGCCCTATTTGCTGTCTGATTCCCACTCCCTCCCACATGCCCAGGAAAGAGGCAAATAAAGGGAATACTAGAAGGAATTGCCAGGCCTCCTAAGTCATTGATGTCCTCACTCCAGGCCCTCACTTCTGGCAAGCACCACCATCTGACACTTCCTTAGATGTTGGTTCCAGCTCATGTCACTGTTTAACAAATCTGTTTTTAATGATGTTGAAGCTTGTCCAGACCCAGTGGCACTGATCTAAGGGAGAAGAATAGTTCATTTTTGCGAGGGGCTCAGGAGCACACTGAATCCTATTGCATCCCCAAATTGCAGCCATGTAGTGGGACCATTGAGGGAACTATGCCTGGCTTGTTAACTATCTGCCAATGTGATGCTGACTCCATTAGTCTGGCCCAAAATGACAATGCAGTAACTTTCGAGAACACTGCCTTTATTCCCCTGGCCCTCCTGCCAGCCTCATCTGGTAGTTTCTCTCTTTGCAAAGTAGGAATGCTAGTCAGGATTGCCTAGCCATCGAGTTTGAGTTTCTGCCTCTTACTGGGTGAACAGCAGGTTAGGTAAATCATTGGTTTCTTATGCTATAGGGCTTTCCTGGGTTCCAAGACATTCTCCATCACCCACTTAGCACCTCTATGAGTCCATGAATTTAAATTCTGAGGAATTATCTTGCCAAAGATCCAGTGGGCCACTCCACAATCCCACAGGAAATGGTGGAACCTGCACTGTGTGTTACGTAATAGAGAAGGGTCTTTAAACAATATCCTGTAGGGGTCAGACCCTATTCTGGCCTGAGGTGGAAAGGTCACCTGGAAGAACACTTGCAAGATGTTAATGACTTACTGCCCATGGCTCTTGAGAGGGATAGGTTGGTTTGAGTCTGCATCCATGGTTCCCTTTGACTTCATTATTGCTGGTTAGCTGAGAAGAGCACATAGACCTTCACACACAGCCTTCATATGCACAAAAGACATTTCTGTTGGTTTACTGAAAATTGTGTAGCTTTTACCCAGTTTTCTAACAATAAAAGGTTGTAGGAAATGCTTTGCTTTTTTGGGGGGTGAGGGGGGAGCATGTGGAAATAGATTTTGCTTACTGTATTGGGAATGTGTGTGTATTGGGGGGGTGCTATTGAGAATGAGGGGGCAATGGGAAGAGAAAGCCTAGCTGCTCCAAAGGATTGCAGCACCCTGACAGTCCCACTATGAGCATTATTCTCCCTTGCTTTCAGGACCATCTGCAGCAATTCTGTCCAAATAGTAGTCAAAGCACCAGACCCCCATTTGTTTGCTAACAAATTCTGGTACTAACAAAAAAAGTAAATCAGAAATCAAATCTGCAAGCCTGACCGAACCTCTTCTATCTTCCCTGTGTATAGTGGGGAATTCTTGTAAACCACAACAACTTAACCTGGGGTTTCCTCTCCTGCAGTTTCTACATCCTCCAGTGGTTCCTCTATGACAATTTGTCCGTTCTCCAGAGGGTATGAACAAAGGCATCTTCTACCTTTCTTGATAAGAAAGAGTTTCACAAGGGGATAAAAAGTCAAGAGCAAGGAGAATTGGACCCTACATAGGGTCCAAATGGGTCAGTATGGTAGAGGAAAGAGTATGGGGCTGGAGATTGGGAAGAGAACTATTGTTGTTACCACACAATGTTCCATTCCATCTCTAGACCTTCAACACAGGCTAATTCTAGCTCTATCACTAGTAATAATAACAATAATAATAGCTAACATTTATATAGTGCCTACTATGTGCCCAACACTGTGTTAAATGCTTCACAAATCTTATTTAATCTTCACAACAACCCTAGGAGGTATTTGCTATTATTATCTCCATTTTACAGATGGAACTGAGGCAAAAAGCAGTTGTGATTTGTCCAGGGTCACACAGCTAGTAAATGTCCAAGTCCACATCTGAACTCAGCTATTCCTGATTCCAGGCCCAGCACTTTATCTACTGATATCACCAACTATATGATTCCAGACAAATCATTTAATTTCTCTGAGTATCAGTTTTCTTTACCTGTAAAATAAAGGGAGATAGGCCATGGCTGTCTGATAACCCATGGCTGTAGGCCTCAACAAGGGCCACAAAGTTACCAAAAACCTTTCAAAGCTGCCACACTGTCGCCGCCATGGGCACTTGACCAAACACACCAAGTTTGTGAAAGATATGATCCCTGATACCGGAGTTGTGTGAATTTGACCTTATGAGAGGTGGGCCATGGAATTATTAAGGTTCTCCAAGGATAAGCAAGCCCATCAAAAAAAGGGTGGGAACTCACATCCTGGCCAAGAGGGAGAGAGAGGAGCTCAGCTACATCCTAGCTGCCATGAGGAAGGCTGCTTCCAAGAAGGACTAAGCTGGACCCTGCCAACCTTCCCCACTTACCCAATAAAGATTTGGCAAATAAAAATAAAGGGAAATAGAACTTGAATTTCTAAAGTTCCTCCCAGGGTTGTGACTACAACAACTTCACAGAATCCAGTACTTGGGAGTTGGAAGGAACACTCAGGATATCATCTAATTCCTACCCAAAGCAGAAATTACAGCACAACCCCAACAAGTCATCGCATCTATGGCTATAAGTCATCTACTGGCAGAAAACTTGCCTTCTCCCAAGACTGCCCATTTCTTTTTTCAGACAACTATATGGATTAGACGATTTATCTTGTTATTTTGGTTGCCCACCTCTGGATTTGTTTTGGTTTGATCATTTTATCTTCCTAAAAGATAGCACCAGTCTAGGTACAACTCTGAGTCCTCCTAGTTGTGGAAAAACCCGGAGATCTGAAAGCTGATCAAGTCAAAGTTGCGTTTTACTCAACTTTGGGGGAGAACCTTAATTGAAAAATCACTCCATTACTGAGCAAAAACCCAGTCTCTGTTTCTGCCTTCTTAGCTGTTCAGGGTAAAGGAAGAGACTTGGCTTGGAGTTTGGCAGCAGACTGTGAGAACTCCCTTGTCAAAACTGTGGACAGGTAATCCTCCATAGGTGAAGAAATCTATTTTTTGGGGTAGGAACAAAGGCATCTTCTGTTACCTTTCTAGATGAGAAAGTTTCACAAGGGGATAAGAAGCCAAGAGCAGGGAGAATTGCACTCTACATAGTGTCCAAATGGGTCAGTATGGTGCTGAAAGAGAACTTGCTGTTCCCACACGACACATAGTAGGGCTTCTCCTTTAACCCTATAGCTAGACATTTCAATGACTCATTTTCAATGACTCTTCCTATGAATAGTGTCCTTGCCTCCCTACTGTTGCTAGCCTGCTCTCTGCAACCATGGGTTGCCAGTCTTCTCTGTTTCTCTTCCTTGGCTTCCAAGCACTTCTGGAGAAAGTCACACAATCCCTAAAGACTGGGTTCATCCAAATCTGTGCTAACATCAAATGGGAATGTGGCTACTATGTGGTGATCTTTTTGCTAATCTCTGCCTGATTTCCTACCATACGCCCCATGGTGACTGTTCCAAGCCTCTTCTCTCCTCAAGGCTCCATATCCACCCCATGCTATTCTGCAAATGACGACTCCTATTTTACTGAGAAGATTGAAATTCTTGACTGTGAGCTCCCTCATTTCTTCATAACACAAAATTTCCCTATGTCCTCACTTCCCTCCAGGTTAAAAGGATGAAGTGGCCTTTCTGGCCCAGGCTAACCCATCTGTTTGTATTTTTTTTTAAAGGCAATTGGGGTTAAGTGAATTGCCCAGGGTCACACAGCTAGTAAGTGTCAAGTGTTTTGGTCTGAGGCCGAATTTGAACTCGGGTCCTCCTGACTTCAGAGTTGGTGCTCTATCCACTACACCATCTACCTTTCTCATTTTCAACCCTTTCCTCTTCAGTAGTTCCTTCCCCATTGCCCACATAAATGTCCATTGGCCCCATTCTAAAAACACCATTCTCTAACCTAATCATATCTCTTTTTAAAAAATGTATTTATTTTAAATTTTATTTGATTTTTAATTTATGGACTAAAACAAGTATTTCCAAAACATAGTGTCATCTCTTCACTGTTAGTTTTCCAGAAAGAATAGTCTGTGCTCACTGCCTCACTCTTCAATCTCTTGCAATCAGGCTGCTATAACCCATGATTCTGATATTATTCTCATCTAAGTCAACAATGACCTCTTATCCACCATCATCTTTGATCTTTTTAGAGTACTGGAAATAAATTCAGGTGACCTGGATTCAAAACCTGATTCACACTATACCTCCTTGGGCAATTCATTTAACCACGCAATATGTTTCTTTGTTTATAAAATGGGAACAATAATATCTACTCTATGTCATTTGGTAGTGTAGGAAAGTGCCTTGCCAACCTTAAAACTCTATAAGATGGTGAGTTATTGTTAAGTAATAATTTTAATTATTCTCTCCTACCTTGGCTTCTGTGCCCTCTCCTGGTTCTCCTACCTCTTTGATTACTCTTGCTTGGTCTCTTTTGCTGGTTTATCCTCCTCCTATCTCCTAGATGCTGCTTTCTCTTAAGGTTCTGTGCTCGGCCATATTTGTTTCTTTCTTTACATTCTCTCCCTTGACATGCTATACTCATGTCTTCAGTTTCTATCTATTCAGATGACTCCTAAATCCAGTCCCACTCTCTCCCCTGAATACCACTCCTACATTTCTTACTGTCTGCTAAACATGCCCCTCTTCCCAATGTACTTGTTTCTGTAGATGGCACCAGTATCCAACTGGATTAGAAAACCTAGGAGTCATCTTTGACTTTTCCCTTTACTTCACTAGCCTTCTATTTATTGTCAAGTCCTGCCTAGTCTTCCTCTACAATATCTCACGTATCCATCCCTTCTCTTTGCTGTCTGTCTCCAGCTTGTTTCAGGCCCTGATACTCTCTCTTTTTGGACTACTGTAATAGCTGCCTAACTGGTTTCCCCACCTCCAGTCTTTCTCCTCTGCAATCCATTCTAATAGTTGCCAAAATGAATTTCCTAATGCACAAGCCTGACCATGTCACCCCACTACTCAAAACACTTCAGCAGTTTTCTGTTGTCTGTTGGAAAAAATGTGAGCTCCTCAGTCTAACGTTTAAGTCCATCCATAATCTGGTAGCCATCTACCATCCAACCTTACTTCACACTATTTCTCATCATATACTCTGTGTTTTAGTCAGATTGAACCACTAGATTTTTCCCAATCTTATTTAACCCTCTCCCATTTCTGATTTGAGCAGGCTGCTCCCTGTGGCTAGAAGACATTCCTTTCTGGGTTCCAATCATAAAATCATATATTTCTTTTGAAATTCTTCTCAGCTTTCAGAGTCGAGCTCGGGTACTTCCCTCTTCCTTGAAGCCTTCCCAGGTTCCACCATCCCCAGCTAAAAATGATTTTTCTGTTGTCAAATATTCTTTGTCTGGATTTCTCCTTTATCCTTATCCCATTATACCTTGTAACATCTTCATTTGCATGCACGTCTTTCCATACACATCTTTCATAAACTCCCATTCTTCATTAGACTATAAAGTCGTTGAGGGTGGAGGCTGTCATTTTTTTTTTCATTTTTGTTTCCCTGGTCCCTTGCATAGTGCCTTGTTCTATAATGATCTAGTGAGCACCAGGTAAGTGCTTGTTGAATGGAAATGAACTTACCATAACAGCAGGCCCTTCCAGCCTGAGGGTGGTGGGGGAAAGGGAGAAAGGGAAGCAATATAAGTAGAGAAACTGCCAACTTCTAGACTCCTCCGTAGAGTTTCCCAGTGTTCAAATGACTTAGATCCTATACCTGTGGGAAAGACTGAGATGACAAGCCTGGGCTGATCTTTCCCTTAAGAGCAATTGCTCAACACATAAAAACTATAAAATATAATGTGAAAAAGAAGAGTCTTTTTAAAAAGTAATTTTCTTTAAAAAGTGTGGTTTGAAAAGTTATCTTACTGGCAATGACAATTTCAAGTTGTAGCTGGGGATTAAATGGGGGTGGGGGTGGTGATCACTCTCTGGCACAGTGAATAGAGCACTGACTTGAGTCAAGATGACTTGAGTTCAAATCCAGCTTCAAACACTATGTGATGCTGAG